CTGGTGATTCCATACTTTTTGCCAGGGGTTGTATTGTATGAGGTTGACATTTATGTTTGTTCCTTTTTAAAGATAAATTTCCACCTTAGGATATTTGTTTTGATCAAGGGTATCTGTCATATTGTGGGATAAATAGGAAGTCATTTTAAATACACCTTAGATGTCAGATTTAAGCATTTTTATGACTTTTGTCATAATAACTACAAAAAACAAACCTATGATGCAACGACTTAGGTTACAAAACAAACAGTGAAGTAGTTTTACAGGTAAAAAATGGAAGTAAAAATTGATGAAAGGGTAAACTTTCCCATTACAGCAAATGCTTGTGCAGACATGGCCATGGTTCTGCAATAATGAGACGTCGAAATTTAGTATTTAGAAAAATGGACCAATGCACAAACTAAATAAGGTGTATTTAAAGGCCCTTAGAATATTCTGGTTGGTCGCAAATTACCCTTTATGTTTGTATGACTTTGTCGTATTGGGTCATATGACAATGGGAGGTCATACCAGTCTAGCACACCTACTTCCCTGACACACTTCAGGTGGTCTTTATTATTAATACGTTGCAACTTATGGTGAAAATATTAAGTTCGAAATCAATTTCCCTATTGTGGATTTACACAAGTACACAATGATATACCTCAATATGGTCTTGGCTTCCAGCAGTCACAAAGTTTAAACATCCACTAACTCACCATCCAGTGCCAGCATCGACATGAAGTCTTTGCAGTTGGACACCCCGGTGGAATCAGTCACGCATGTTTTCCACAGATTAGACCAGAACGTTGCAGTCGTGATAACCGTCCCGTCCACGGACGACACCTTCCAGTAGTCTGTGGGCACTGTGGACGATATCAAGATCCACCCAGAGATAGTTAGAAGAAAGGCAACGATCTCAGTTGCCATGTTGCCCATTTTTTCCACTCAAGATTTGGTTCAGAGTGAGATCTTTCCCTCAGGAGAAATTGGAGAGAAAGTGGGTTGGTCTGACGATGAAAGGCATGTTGGAGTTGGCAGGTTGTGCAGAATTTTGCTTCTGCCTCACATGCCCAGCCTTGGAGGCCTTGGTGAACAGCCAGAGATCATGTAATGTGTTTAGGAAGTGTTGTGGATGGATCTGCCGTGATTAAAACCCAAGTCATTACTTCAGATCCATAATCTGCAAGGGGAATGTGAGGTCAGTCTTTAATTAAAAGAAACTAAAATGTTTTTGACTGACGGGGGGAACTACAAGGAGAAAAAAATGGAAAACACAAATAACTGGGAGACAACAGCTTTGTCCACAATGTTTCTCCTCTTAAGGGGATTATGGTTGCTTCTTGATCATAACTAATCAATATTTGAATTTCTGTACTTTGTTTTGACAAAGTACAGAAATTGAGCAAAACATCTGTTACTGCATTATAGCACCACCATGTGGCAGAAAGAAGAACCAGTTATTAGAAAGAAATATCTGTTCACTCATGGCTATAGGTTTTGAGACAGTCAGGACTCATTGCTCTAAAACTTTAAATATTAAGTTCCATTGGGATACATCTGGAAAACCTCAGGAGAAAAACGAGAAGAAATTCTGAACCACCTAACATCTTAAAATGCAGTGGAGGAGCAGCGCCACCCTAAGCATCCACTAGATGGCGGTGTTCCTCACCTAATCTTTCAAACCAAGTTCATTACTGCCGATAAGGCCTTAATCAGTCGCTCCATCTCCTCCTATATCCTACCTTCACCCATAAGCAAGAACCTAGGATACATTAACTCCTCTGTTTGAGGCAAAGACTGGCCCCTCACCAGGAGGGAGCAGTTCACCTTTTTCCAAGTTCAGAATGGTTGCTTCTGACTCACTTCTGTCTCTCTTCCCGGCTGCTTTAAAATACTGGAAACCATTCCAGGAACAAAACGTCTCTTAGCTTAGTTGCAATTGTGGAGATTAGCTAAACTTTTCTTTCATTACAGTTATTTTTGAGCTCAAAAGAGTGAAAAACTTTTGGGAATCTTAATCCTTCAATTTTTTTTAATATTAGGGAGACGTTTTAACCAAGGGGTGGCCGGATGTTTTGGTCCAGACATGTTCTACATAAGTTTAACTTCGCAGATGGTTATTTCTTATTTGTCTTCTGTCAGTGCAGGAATCATATGCAGCTATCGTAGTTCAACAACAGCACTGGACTTTAAGCTAGGATTGGAGGGGAAAAATAAAGGGTAGTGTGAGTGGTGTGGAAGTCTGAGACAGGCTTAAAGTTAAAGGCCTGTGTGAAATTTATAAGGAGGAGGTGGACATGTTGGCACAGGTCCACTTGTATTTGGTATTCAGGTCAAAGTGACTCAGCATTTTGGGATCCGTAATAATCTCGTACCAGAAAAGCATTCCATATTTGAGTGCTGACCTGATTTTGAGCAGTTCAAAGAAAAGATAAGTCCTCCTAATCTTTGTTCATTCCAGAGAAGGAAACATTTTAATTCCCAGAAACATTATTAAGACACTACCGGCTACCCTTCAGGTTACCTGTTTTATAAGCGCTCATCAGACAGTGTCTGGGGTCATATAAACTGGGAACAGGTACAACCTTTGCAGGGGAAGAATTCCAGGAAATCCAAGCTCAGCTATTTTTACCATCAGTAAATGGCACAGAGGCAGGTGCTGAGAGTGTCTTTTATGAAATCTCTAGATAGTTAAACCCTGAGACGTACGTTACCATGGCTGCTGTTGCTGGGATGTTTTAGAAAGGCCCCCTCCTTAATCCTGTAAAGCATCCAATTCAAAGGGAAACAGCCGGTACAGGTTGTTTCTGCGATAAAGTACGCTGATGATCATGATCATCTGATAACTTTGGGTAAGGAAATTGCCAATTGGTAATGTCAGCAATAGTTTTGTAACTGCAGTATTTAAGTCATGAAATGGATGCAAATCGGGTAAAACGCTATCAAAAGTTAAACAAGTTTTTCTGGCTTTAAGGTGAGTAAAAGAGACAAGAAGGCCAATCGTACCACTATAACAATCCAAGACTGTAGACTTCCTAAATGGAAGAATTGTAGCTGTTTTTGTTTTAAGTTGTGGAAACTGTAACTCTGTCCATAAGGATCTATCTAGCTGTTTACTTGAAAGAGTAAATACTTCTGTAAGTCAAAGGTAAAAGAATGAAACAATATTTTCTGGCCACATATTCTCAACTGGATTTACATCTACGCCCTTACCCTTGCGTTTACCCTGCTTCATTGCATTGCATTAAGTTGATGCCATGTAAATGACTGATATGCTATTTGTGTGACCAAAATATCCAGTGAGTGTACTTCGAATTTTTATAACCATTTTGCAATTATTTGTGTAGGACAGCAATAGCAATCCTGTCCGCTCTTTTCCTCTATTTGTCATCTTGCTGATTTTTACAGAGACCAGTAAAGACAATGTTGCAGTCATCTAAGCTACTGAAACTAAAAAGCCTGCACTAGTCTTTCTGTGGCCTGTGTTGATGAAATCCTTTATTCTGGCGATGTTTTTTAAGTAAGCTGGTTTGGTAACAGAGATTTTGTGCTTGTGAACTTTTAGATCCAAGTCCAAAGCTGCACACAGGTTCCTTGCATTCTCTGTGGTTTTTAGGCCAATTGATTTTTTTATTGTTTTTTGTCTAATGATCTTTGCCAGAAGTAGGAGATTGGATGTTGGTTTGTAATTACATACTGATGCATCTTCATTTGTTTTCTATAAAACAGGTTTATCACTCCAGTTCTAAAAGCTGTTTTTCAAAACTCAACGGTCAGTAAAAAGGCAGCAAGGTGTAGATTTCAAGTTGTCAGAAAGATATAACTCTCACTCATTTTAACTCTTGATAGTAAACATGAATATTTCCACATAAATATGATAGACGAAGGTTTCATCTGTGAGTGGTTGTTTTTGTGGCTGGTTGGTTGGTGATTGAAGAACAGAGCAGATGTATTTAGCAGTGAGAAAGCTGTACTTATCCACTGGACGTTATTCTCACCAGCTCTTTGAATAATCTCCCGCTGTCTTTTCTCCTTTGGCCTTTTCTCCTAGTCAGTGCTAGCTAAACATCGACAGGAGGAAAACGTGAGTCATCGAGCGTTAGCCATTCTGCTCTATTATGATTAGACTAACAGTAACAGTATAATTGTTTATCTAAGCTACACGTGAGCGAGTTGCTTCAGAAGGTTCCTTGAGCACGATAGCAGCAATAGGGGGCTGAAGGGAGTGCCATGCTGGGAAGTGGCTCAGCAGGAAACACCTGTGGAGAGTCAAGGGGCTTCTCTCATATGCAGGCTCCTTCTGTTTATGCATAGGATATCCTCTCTGTGTTGACAGCATGCCTTGTGTGTCTTTCTGTATCAAACCAAAGAGTGAGAGAATAAAAGGAAGTTCCTCCACCGTGGAAAGTTGAGGGGAAAACTCCTTACTACCTTAATTCAGTCCTCTCACATGACAATTGGTGTACTAGTTAGCTTCTAAAAAGCCCTATGAACGTTTAACTGTGTCATCATGATGAAAACATACAGTGAGGTGTTCTATATAATAACCATGTGACAGAAATGAAGGAACTTGAACTTATGCTGAGTCATAAAAATGTGATTTTAACTAATGAAACACTGGAGATTTATTTGGACATCTTTGACGTGTTGTAAGTCTAGAATACAGTACCTTGCGTAATATATACTCATTAATTTGTTTGTTCCCCATATAAACATGTTAATACCTCAGACATCATTGATTTTTGTTGGACATACATTTATTTTCATTCCGTTTTACAGTCTATCTCCTAAATAAAATCACATTTTTATTTGCAAAATATTTTAAATTCACAATAATGTATTGCTTTGTATATGTCTGTCACATAAATTGCTAACAAAATTCATTGAAGTCTTGGATTGTGATGTCACAAAATGTGGATTAAATGAATTTCATAATGTATTCTAAAACTGTTAATGGTTTAATGAGATATTTAATTTTTAACCAATCTTTAGAACATAAAGAGACAAATATATACGTGGAAATATTTTAGATATCTTCTGAGTTAAAATTACATGTAGGTAACTGTGTCAAAAATACCGAGTTAACGTCGTAAAAGCGCCTTAGACACCTAGCCAATAGCATAGAAAGAATTTTTTTTTCTTCTGGCCAATCAGGTGTATTGAGGGCGGGGCGAATGGGAGTTCTTTCTGTTTCTTTTATTTCGCTTCAGCACCTTAAACCGGACGTAAGGGGTTACGTAAACTCACGTTCAGGGGTAACTTTACCCTCATGTAACATGCAGGTCCTGCAAAGTTACGACAGATAACCGGGTACGCAGTTTTTAAAAGAGGGGAGACGCAGTGTATCTCCCGGTTAGTTATGGAAAAAGTCCGGAAAGATGGCAAGAAGAACCCGGCGGCGACGGCGAACATTCTGTCCAAGATATTTTTCTGGTAAGTGGGCACAGAGGTCTCCGAGTGGTGAACGTTTTTTTTTTATCAGTAGTAATTTCGCGGGGAATTTAAAAAGTGGACTCGGTGTGACTTTCCGCATTCAGCGCGGTCACTATTCATTTTACACAAAGTTAGTTTGAGGAAACAACGTTATGAGCGAGCAGGAATTCTGCTCAGGTAAAAGAAACAACCGGACATGTTCAATGATTAAACCAATGAATTAACGTCCTTTACGCAGCGCAGGTGTTTTAGATTAGGCAGCCGCAGTGAAAGAGTTTCTTCTAAACTTCCTTATAACTTATTTAATTTTTACATGACATGTCTGTGTTGGTTCTCATTTCATAAAACATTTTGCGGGGTTGTGTCTTTTTTTTAATTAACTTTTAGTTTGTATTTTTTCCTTTTCAATTCGTAACACGTCTTTAAACTACATAAAGCAGTCTGAATCACCACAGGATTGTTTTACGACATTCAGAATCCATTTTTATTATACTATTATTACAGTTTCTTCCTTACCTATCTTTATTC